AAAAAAAAAAAAAAAAAAGAAAAAAGAAAAAAAAAAAGAGTCCTGGAGGGCCGGGTGGTGGCACACACCTTTAATCCCAGCACTTGGGAGGCAGAAACAGGGTGATCTCTGAGTTTGAGGCTAGGAATACAAGGAACATATTTCAACATAAAAAAACAGTGTACGGCAATCCCAGGGCCAGCATCAACTTAAATACAAAGGAATTCAAAGCAATTCCACAAAGTCCAGAACAAGACAAGGTTGTCCACTCTCTCCATAGCTATTCACTAGAGTCCTTGAAATGTTTGCTAGAAAAATAAGAGACAATTGAAGGAGATCAAGGGCATTCAAACTGAGGTCAAAGTATATTAATTTGCAGATGATACAACAGTATACATAAGTGACCCCGAAGATTCCATCAGGGAACTCCTACAGCTGATAAACACATCCAACTCACAATAATTGGTAACCGGTCCCCAAAGGGAGTGGCACTATTAGGAGGTGTGTCTTTGTTGGCCTGGGGGTGGCCTCATTGGAGGAACTGTGTCACTATGGGGTGAGCTGTGAGATCTCATTTATGTTCAAGGCACACCCAGTGTCTCAGTTCAATTCTTGTTACCTGCAGGTAGCTGTAGAACTCTCAGCTTCCATGCACACTGCCATACTCCCAGCTGCATGTCCCACCATGACTGTAATGCACTGAGCCTCTGAAACTGAAAGCCACCACCTCAATTAAATGTTTTCCTTTATGAGAGTTGCCATGGGCACAGTGTCTCCTATAGCAATACAAACCCTAAGACACCACCTACGTACAAACGACAAACGGACTGAGAAAGAGAAAAAAAAAAAAATCAGGGAAATAACACCTTTCACCACAATAGCCTCAACTAATATACAATATCTTGAGGTAACTCTAACCAAGGAACTGAAAGACTTGTATGATAAAAACATAAAACATGGGAAAGCTCTCCCATGCTAATGGCTTGGCAGAGCTAATATAGTAAACATGACCATTACACCACAAGCAAGCTATAAGTTCAGTGAAATCATCTTCAAAATATCACAATTAATTATTTACAGATAATAAGAAGCCAACTTTCATTCAAGACCAGCCTGGTCTACAAGAGCGAGTTCCAGGACAGCCTCCAAAGCCACAGAGAAACCCTGTCTCCAAAAAACCAAAAAGCCAACTTTCATCTTCTTATGTGAACACAAAAAACCCAGGATAACAACAAAAGAGAGAGAGAGAGAGAGAGAGAGAGAGAGAGAGAGAGAAACAGAAATCCTGAATAATAAGAGAACTATAGGAGGTATCACCATCCCCAATCTCAAGTTGGTAGTATAAAGCTATAGTAATAACAGTTTGACACTGACATAAAGACGGACAAATTGGGCTGGAGAGATGGCTCAGCAGTTAAGAGTACTGACTGTTCTTCCAGAGTTCAATTCCCAGCTACCACATGGTGGCTCACAACCACCTTGAACAAGATCTGGTGCCCTCTGCTGGCATGCAGGCAGAAGTCCGTATACATAATAAATAAATAAAATGTTAAAAAACACCAGACAAGGAATCAAGGGAATCAAATTGAAGACCTAGACATCAATCCACATACCCATGGACACCGGGTTGTTGATAAAGAAGCCAGAAATTCATACTGGAAAAAAGACAGCATCTTTAACAAATGGTGCTGGTCAAAAATGACAGCAGCATGTACAAGAATGCAAATAGATCCATACTTAACCACCCTGCACAAAACTCCAAATGACTCAAAGACCTTACTATAAAAGCAGATACACTGAACCTGATAGAAGAGAAAGTGGGGGGGTGGCCTTGAACTCATCAGCACAGGAAAAGATTTAGTGAAGAGAACACCATTAGCACAGGCAAAAAGGCCAACAAGTAATCCACGGGGCCTTATGAAACTGAAAGGCTTCTGCACATCAGAGGACACTGTCACTCAAAGCGGCAGCCTACAGGCTGGGAAAAGCTTATCAACTACAAACCTGATAGAGGGCTAATATCGAAAACATAGAAAGAACTCAAAAAAACTAGACATAAAAAAACCAAATAACCCAATTTAAAAATGGGGTGCAGGTCTAAACAGAGAAGTATCAAAAGAGGAAACGCAAGTGGCTGAGAAACACTTAAAAAAGCGTTCAACATCCTTGGCCATCAGGGAAATGCAAATCAAAATTACTTTGAGCTTTCATCTTACACAGTCAGGATGCTAAGATCAATAAAACACAGGACCACTCATGGGGGCAGTATGTGGAGCAAGCAGAACACGCAGCCACTGCTGGTGGGAGTGCAAACGTTTCCAGCTACTATGGAAACCTGTGTTGTGGGTCCTCAGGAAGGTCAGCATCAATCTACCTCCACATCCGGCTCTCCCACTGGGCATATAGCCAAAGGACTTCATCCGACCAGAGACACTTACTCAAACATGGCTATTGCTGCTCTATTGTTAGTAGCCAGAAATTGGAAACAACCTAGATGTCCTTCAACAGATGTATGGATAATAGGGGCCGGAGAGATGGCTCAGAGGTTAAGAGCACCGGCTGCCCTTCCAGAGGTCCTGAGTTCAGTTCCCAGCCGCCACATGGTGGCTCACAGCCATCTGTAATGAGATCTGGTGCCCTCTTCTGGTGTGCAGATAGACATGGAAGCAGAATGTTGTATACATAATAAATAAATAAAATCTTAAAAAAAAAGAAGTATGGATAATAAAAATGGGGCACATTTACAGAGCGCAGTATTTCTCAACTATTAAAAAAGTGGAATCATGCCACGTGATGGTGGCACATATCTTTAATCTCAGCACTCAGGAGGCAGAGGCAGGTGGACCTCTGTGAGTTCGAGATCAGCCTGGTTTACAAAGAGAGTTCCAAGACACCCAGAGCTGTTACACAGAGAAATCCTGTCTCAAAACAAACAAATGAAATCATGAAATTCAAAAGTAAATGGATGGAACTATGAAAAAAAAAAAACAAAAAACAAAAAACATTATGAGTGGGGTATTATAGGTCCAGAAAGACAAAAATGGTATGGTATGATGGTATGTATTTACTTCTATGATAATAGCTGTTAAATCAATAAAGCCACACTACATAGAACTGAAGGGTTGGGGGGTATAGATTTCATTAGAAAAGGCAAATAGACAGTTATGGATGGATGGAGAGTTGGAATGAGAGGATCAAATGGAAAGGGGGGGGAGGGAGGAAATATGAGGAGAGGTACTTCAACTTTAGGGCCAATTGAGGGCTAGTATGGAAATCTAATACAGTAGAAACTTCCTAAAATATATACATATATGAAGGCTAACTAACTGAAGTAGACAAATAATGGGGGAGACAAAACCCCAACTGATCATCTCTTGTCACCAAATGAGGCTTCTAGTGCCAGAGTTGGCTTACACCTAACTGACCTGTTGGCCAGAGGGGTACAATGGGGAACCCCAAACAATGCAGGCTGTTGCCACAAACTGATGGTAAGACCACAAAGCTGAGGACAACACCTACATAGCTTAATGAACACAGCATCCGCCCATATTTCCAGTGTCTTTGGTACAGAATGATATTCTACATACTACCAGAAGAGAAAATTAAACACCAAGCCAGCCACAAACCCTTGAATGTAGTCTTTTTTTTTTTTTTTTTTTTTTTTTTTTTTTTTTTTTTTT